AATTGGATGATAAACTGCAAAACATCAGAAATGTTTGTGACAGATACACTTGTAAACACAGTTATGTGCCTCAATCAGTTTGAAACAGTTCCTGTATCGGTCACGTGACTTTCTTCCCGCTCTGCCCCGCCCCCTGCGCTCCAGACCGCCTGTGCAAAGCAGCACCTACAGCCTCCGCTGTTCCTCCAGTCTTGCTCCGCTCCGACTTCCTCGAAGCGCGAGGAGAGCATGTATGATATTATTATTATTAAATTCATAGGAACAAAACATGCGGAAATGAACGCAAATATTTTCTTTTTGTTGTTGATTTTTGTAACAGAGATAACTAGGATCATATAGAATTGCTTTTTTATGAAAGATGTTCTCTGCTTCCAAACTCAGCATCTCTTCATCCATTCCTGTAATAAGAAGTTTCTGTTGACTGGATTTGATTAAACTTTTAAGACTCTCAGTATAAAATAAATCTGCTTCCTGGTCTGTTGAAGAACCAATAGTTTGCATCCAATCTTTTAAATAAACGGTTTCTATTTTTAGGGAATTTATAAGAATTATGCTCTAATTTGTAGTTGCTGATCCGTGGTTAATATATTTTCATTTGACCAACCGGATCTTCCACGTTCTTCTTCCTGTTTGGCTCGATTGCAGATCTTGACCGGGCCGGACCGCAGCAGAGCAAAAAAATGTCTCGGTGAAGGACGGAGAGGACGTACGTGGACGGAGATGTGCGGAGGAGTAGCGGTGGATGTGGAACAGCTCTCATTAATTAACATGACAGACAAGTGTTCTCCAGGGCGGAGCGGAGCGCTGACGGTATATAAAATCTGGGGGTTAGAGCTTTATACATGCAGAGGCCCATCGGTGCTGCTGGATCCATCATTAGGAGAGATTCACCACAAAACGCACACATCAGGACAGAGACACCAACAAGACAAGCAGTTAATTTTATCTCCTTTAGTTATGAAAATAATGTAATTTCACAATAAAGAAAAGTCTAAACTTTTCAGAATAAATGCAGAAAATAAAGTCAAATCTTTACGGGAATCACGCCTTCATTTTAGGAGAATAAAGGCTGGTTTATACTCAGAAAGCAGGTTGTTTGCGTTTGTCGCAGTGAACATAAATACTCCCCCCCTTACGCAGACAGGAGGCCTCTGATTGGACAAATCTACATCCTCTCTACTCTATGCTTATTTCCTGTTTGGTCCGTTACCGGCTTGTTTTGTTTATATGACCGCCATTGTGGAAAACGACTCATGAAGATGAACCAGCTATTAGAGCGAGGTGCGCGAGAACGCTGGGACCCTTTTTCCACCTGGATCTCCGCTCTTTTTGGCCCTCATGCCCCTCTGTCGTCACACAAACTTGCCCCCACTTCCTCACCTCCTCGGCCGTATCTAGACCCACAATTAGTTCCTGATTGGCCCTCTTGCGTTGTGGCGAGGAATAACATAGCGCAGACCACGCTTCAATATTGGGCATAAATCAAAACTATCTGTGACAAGCTCACTGCGACACACTGCTGCTGGAGGATAACCAGACCTTAAGGTTGTAAGAATACTGTATTAACATCATGATAATAGAGTCATTTGTTCAGGAAAATAAAGTTCCAACTTTACCAGAATAACATCATAACTTTCTTTCATCATAAAATGTTCTCAGAGAGAAGGAACCACAGCCGGGATAAACTTTCCACCTCACAGAGGATATCAGGCCTCCTACCTGGATCTCTATGTGTCTCGGGTTGTCGATGTACTTCTCAATCAGCAGCCGGTCGTCTCCGAAGCTGGAAGCTGCTTCCTGGGATGAGAAACGGAAACCTTCCCTGTAAGGGAGGATGTGCGTGTTTATTTACGGTGACGCTTGATGAGCCGCTTCACTTTCTGCATCCTAGTTTCCACTGATAGTTATGTTCATGTCTTTAGAAGACGCTTTGATCCAAAGCCACTTACAAAGGAGACACAAGGTTCCAGTTATCAATGGAGAGTTATCAATCCAGAGTCAGGATCAGTGGGGACAGCAAAGAAAGAGAGATGTAGGAGAGGAGTACAGAGCTATAGATGATGAAACATCAACACTGCTGGGCTTTCAGAGGAGGAGCATCACCAACAAACGGTCAACTGGACCCAATAGTTCTGATAGCAGACATGGCTGCTGTTCTGTCAGACCAGCATACCCATAGTGAATACGCATGCACAAGACGTCAGATTTGAGTTTATCCCTTTAGCTTTGTATGAAAAATAGACTTTAAACTACCTCAACAGGCGTGCATCCCTTTAGTCATGTATAAAAAAAAAATATTTCAGGTCAGATCACTATATGCTTCAAAAACACCAAAAAAGTAAGTAATGAAATAGTTTTTTTGTACATGACCAAAGGAATACGTGCCGTTGAGGAAGTTTAAAGTGTATTTTTCGTACAAAACTAAAGGGATAAACGGGTATTATCTATGGTTCTGCTGATCTGACTGGGTATGCTCATCTGAGAGAACACCATCAGAGGGCGTGAACGGTCTGGATGTTCTACTGGATCTGATCTGCAGCCTTGACAATGGAGAGAGGTCTGGCTGCTGACCTGCACTGTCAGAACCGGAGGTTTCTAATCAAAGCCTTCAGGATTAGCGCTGAGCAACGGATGTTCTGCCGGGTTTTATTAGAAGAAGAAAACAGATTTTTTTGCGAGGCGAGAGCTAACTTAAATCTGCCTTTCCCTAATTTTCCCCACTTTAGGCCAGAATATTTGGTGATTTTCTTTGACTTATTAGCAGTTCTCAATTTGAGGGGGGGTGAGGGGGGATGGCATCCCCCTTCTTAATAACAATTTAAAAAAATCATCCCCTTCTTAAAAAAACATCTCCACATTTTATTACTAAATGTGTAAAAATTTCTACTATGTATTAAAAGTAAAGGCAATAATATAACTAGAGATGCACAATATTGGGATTTTGGCCGATATCCGATATGCCGATATTTTATATATATATATATATATTTTATATATATATATATATATATTTTTTTTAGACTTTAGAAACTCAGAAGCTGCTCAAATATCGGGTTAAATATCGGTGGGGTGGCCGATGTCCGATATTCAGTTTTAAGGCCGATACAGGCCGATACCGATAGGGGGCCGATTATATCGTGCATCCCTAAATATTACCCTTTCAGCATTTGGCGGGATGTGGGAGCCTATTTTCCGTTGGCCTATTTGTGAGATCAAATATTTGGAGTGTTTCTTTTCTCTGCCTAAATAGAGGTGATTGTTTAGAAGTCTGTATGCTGGAGTTAAGTTATGTAGGGAGTCAAGAGTGGGGATGTCCAGTCGTCTGTTTCAATTTGCATGTTTTTAAAACAAAAACCATGCTTTGTTGGGCTACTGTATAAAACCTGGAACTCAACCCTATTTCTGACATTTTGAATTGAAAAACTTCCTGGATGGAAGAGAAACATCTTCAAACTTGGAAACAAAGTCCAGTGGATGGTTTTTATTTTTCTTTTTTTGGAAGAGGCAAAGCCGTTTTCCAGACTGGGACTCTGTCTAAATGGACTCCATGCTCTGGTTAAACTGAACAGAACTGGTTAGGAGGACAGGAGGGTGGTTAAAGTCCACGTCTCTAAAGGACTCAGGAATGCCTGACTTATAATCCACATGGATGATGTTAGCAGGACAGAGACAAACCCAGACTGGGACGAACCGAGCAGGTTACAACTAGGATTTTGCCAAAAATCTAAATTGCGAATATTTTTCACCAATATTGCGATTACGAGTTTTATTTTCGTAAGCACTAACCAAAAGCTTGTAAATGTTTCATTTCAGGGTTTAAGTTTTTAACATTTCCTTAAAGCAGAGTTCACAGATTAAACAGAGCAGAGAAAGTGTGGACTGCTGGAAGAACTGTGGTGAACTGGTGAACGAAAAAGTGAAATGGTGCTCAAAGACGACCCTGAACATTTAGAGGATGTTTGGCTCAACCTGCTGCTGTGAAGCAGGATTCTCCACCATGAACAGAATGTCTCCATTCAAAGCTGTCGCCGTTCAGGAGCTGTTTGAACGCCACCGTCTCACGCAGAGATTTTATACTTGAACTGTAGGGGGGGGGCATTAGCATGGGTGTTGTGATATCACAATTCTTGGTTCACTATACAATATTATCACGATTTCGCAATATCACGCAATATTTTACGATATTTTTTCCCAACTATTACACTAACTAATTAGCAACTAATTACATGCATGGCTTTGCCTCCATCCAAACCCAGTTTAAATTTTTTGCAGTGCAGCCTAAAGCCCACCGCTCTCATTAAGCCTTAGAAAAGAAAGAAAAAACAAAACAAACGTCCAGTTCAGGTGTTTTATAAAATAGAGAATCAGGAAATTGTCTATTTTTTTTATTTTTTTTTTATTCAATGTATAACATGGATGGATAAAAATCTACTTTTTATTTTACGGTTAAATTCTGTTTAAAGTAACAGATTATAATTAAAAATGTCTCCAGACCTGTTGATGATTTTCTTTATTCGGACCCCCCTGATTTTTAATTGGTTACTCCAGCCTTAAATGCTTGCTTGTTCGGTCTATAGTTTTAGGATTGCAGTGAAACCTTTAATGATTAAATGCTTACTGACTTACATGCATGGATCTGCATGCTAGCTGCAAATTTCTATTCCTTTCTGCGTGGTGGCAAATCCTCTTTAAATATATTTCTGCCACCTGGAACGCTGCAGTGAGAAATGTCACCAAAATCAAGTTCCTCTGCGTCTTGTTAAATTGTGATTATATTGCAAATGCAAAGAATTGCCCAGCCTTAATGAGAACAATGCATGCTTTCTACCACCAGAGCAAAGGAACAATGGCCCTTTGCAGCAGGCCTCCAGTTTGGAGACCATGCGGCACCTGAACCATCCTCCCTCATCATTCGTTCAGTCTACAGCCAACCAGAAGGGAGGAGAACCATACCGAGTCTCCTCATCGTTCCAGGCGATCCTCATTCCTTTCCCTCCTCCTCCTGCAGAAGCCTTGATCATCACAGGGTAGCCTTGGAAGCAAACACATCAGAATCACGTGAATCCTCTTACGTGTCTCCTCCCTCAGCGCTGCGGATGGAGAGAAATCCGAAGACTTACCAATCTGCTGAGCGATCTTCACAGCTTCGTCTGCGGTCTGTTGATGGGAGAGGAACGGGTTTACGTTAGAGACAACAGATCTAAGCTAACGCTTCAATTGCAGGCAGAGATCTGAACAGGTCTGGACCGGAGGGTTCTGACCCGGGATCTGTTGGATCCATTAACCCGTTTGTTCAGACATCTGCTATGAAACAGGTGCAGAGCAGAGACAGCGACACCACCTGGACAAATCCTTCAACAGTACATAAAAGGATCAACCCAATAACACTAGAAATCCCACCGCCGTCATAAGATTCTAAAGTGAAAGAACTTTATTTACATGAATCATATGTTGCTCATGTTAACTGACTTTTCCTGTTTCTATATTTCCTTCATTTTCACATGTTTTTATAAAATGAAAACAAAATAAATATGGCTAATTCTACCTCGATCTCCCACAGCCATAATTTTGTCGGCTCTATTAGTTGCATTTTAAATTCTTTCCGCGATTGATTGACAGTCAGTACCGTCATTCTACCAAGAGCTCTTTGGCCAATACGGAAAAATGGCTTTCAGAGGAAATCTAACAGCGAAACAGGTTTTAGGAATAATTCAAAGAATAGATGAAAGGCATTCCAAAAAAAGAAAATTAAAAACAATCCACTAGCTTTGTTTCCAAGTTAGCTTTTTCCAATTCAAAATGTCAGGAAGTGTTGAGTTTGAGTTTTTACACAGCAACCAAACAAAGCCTTGTTTTTGTGTTAAAAACATGCAAATTCAAACGGACGAACGGGTTAAACCCTTTAAAATGTGGGTCATTTGGCTTCTTTTGTTAGCCTGCAATCCTCCGTACCCATCTGAAGCTGGCAAAAGAAAACTTGCTTCTACTGGACTGAGGGTGGCCGCCTACCTTGACGACGCCGTCAAATCCTGGGATGGTGTTCACCTTGGCAGCCTTAGCGATCAGCTTGCTCTCGATCTTATCGCCCATTGCTTGTATCGCATGAGTGTCTGGGCCGATGAAGGTCACGCCCTCCTCAGCCTGATGACACAATCACAGAACAGTGTTTGCAGTAGACATGAACTGGGAGTCCAAAGAGAAGAAACCAACAGCTGAAACATCTTCAGTCATGTCAGCAGAGTAATAAGCAGAGGGCCCAGCATGCATCCCTGAGAAACACCTGTGCTCAGTGTGGAGGATGATGGAGAATCTGTAGGCGACTCAATCTAAACATTAATGCAGTCTGCTTTAACTGGATTCGTCGCTGGTTTTTACCATTTTACTAATAAAAAATACCTTTTGTAGAAATGGAATTTATAACATCCTCATGAACGGCTTATATTTCATCCTGTCTTGTTTATTTTTAAACTTCAAATTCAGCTGCAAAAATATAATTCAGTCAAAACTCTAAATCAGAAAAATAGATGAGAAAAAGCAAATGGAATCCGCTCATTGACCTCTGGACCAGCAGCTCTCCTCAGAACAGAACAGCTCAACCTCCTGCTGTGAAAAGATTTAATCTGGTTAAAATAAAATATTCTGTACAATTTTATGCACTCCTTTATTTTTGAAGGTAATTTAAACATATTGTGATTAAAGCGAAAAATAAATCATAATACTAGATTTTCATGTCTCACAGGCCTAGTTGGAATTGGAGAACTTTTTAAACATCTTTTTCCCCCCATACATCCGGCGGGAACTTTTAGAATCATTTGAATTTTTTTTTATTTTTGTCTTAAAGAGAATCGACCATTAGCTCCTCAGATGCAGCTTCTACTCATTGGGACTGAGAAATGTGGTTAACCGTGAGCTGGTTGAAATAGAAAAACCGACAGTTACTCACCAGGCGCTTTGCAAACTCCTTGTTCTCAGACAGGAATCCGTAGCCAGGATGAACCTTCAATCAGAAGCAAACTGGAGTTCAGCTTCAGCCGTCAGCTTCCCTGACAGAGCATCATGTGACGCAGAGCTTACAGCCTGTGCTCCTGTTAGTCGGACAGCCTCCATGATGGCCTCCATGTTCAGGTAGCTTTTAGCGGTGGGGGCGGGGCCAACGCAGACCGCCTCGTCAGCCATCTTCACATGAACCTGAAAACCAACCAAACATCCAAGCCTAAGAGCTCTTCATCCATCAGCCCCGCCTTGTTAACTCAGCCAGTCCGGCACACTGTAAGCTAGTCTGCAGGTTGGGCTCCTGAAATCATCTGCAAGATGAAGATTATTCTGGATTAAGGAGGAAGACACTGTTTGTAATCTGGAACTTTGCTGCTTTCCAGGTCTCCTCTCTGATCCTGGGCTACTGTGGTCCTTCCATAGAAGAAGTTCTGAGCCTTTTTCTCTGCTGCTCTCAGTCTAACCTGGTTCCAAAGCAAAGAAACCAACAGAACGCCGTGTCTGCTGAGTCTCAGCTTTTACACTGCAAAAACGATCTAAAAATGAGTAAAAATGTCTTAAATTAAGTCTATTTACCCTTAATTTGAGCAGGTAAATAAGATGATTTGCCAATGGAATGAGTATTTTTACTCTTAAAATAAGCTATCTAGATATGCACTTGAAATAAGACAATGCATTTGTTTTTGTTCTTGTTTAAAGTGTAAATTGTCTTGTTAAATTGGCAAATTGTCTCACTTCAATCCTTAATTCAAGAAAAAATGCACTAATTTTAAGAAAAAATTACCTATTTAGAATAAATTTTTTTGCAGGACATGCGTCGCCCCGCTCGCATCCAGCCCAGGTCATGATCAGTCCCAGGATTACTCTGAACCAGAGAGGATGCAACGCAGACTGGGTTCTAGACCTGCATGTTAATCCAGGAGCCAATCCTGGTCAGAATCCCAGAAATATGTCAGATTAAGATGAATGTGTCTGATGCTGATGTTCTCAGTGAGGGATCAGGAACAGAGGAGGCTCTGCTCTGATTGGCTGCAGACCTGATGGACCTCCAAGAGACTGTATGCTAACCAACCATTGATTGGATTACTAACAATAAAACATAGACCTACATATTCATCTTTAGATCTACTGTTATCATTTCTATAATAAGAAAATGCCCTTTTTGGCTTAAACCCCAGATGTCTGTAAAGCACCTGACTAACATCATCAGCTGTTAGATAAAAATAAAGTGAGATGGACCCCCACCTGTGTGACGTCTTGCCATCCCCCCCCCCTCCCCCCCTCTTAGCCAATTACATTTTTATGAAATAATAATTTCAATGACATTGGAAATAGGGATGCAGGATATTGGGATTTTGGCCGATATCCGATATGCCGATATTTTAAAACTCATGTAGCCGATAACCGATATCGATACCGATGTTAAAGCTGGACAAAAATAAGTAGTCATTGAAAATAGCAGTTTTGTTATCCATTTCTGACACTTTGAAAAATAATATACTCAAATATATTTTCATATGCTGATATCAAATAGATTTTTAAAAACGCGGTATGGATCTATTTTACTTTCAAAATCTCGTGAAATTTCATCGTTCTGTTACAAA